TCATCCTGTCGATGGAAATCTCTCTCTCTCTCTCTCTCTCTCTCTCTCTCTNCTGTTGGCCGGTGTGTTGTTCATCCTGTCGATGGAAATCTCTCTCTCTCTCTCTCTCTCTCTCTCTCTCTCTCTCTCACACACACACACACACACACACACACACACACACACACACACACACACACGGGGGAAAAAAAAAGAAGAAAAAGAAGTGGTGGCAGTGTATAATACACTCTACATTTCCATGTTCTCGCTGAAGATTGATTCCGATTTTGCTAATCCTACACACACAGACCGACATTGCCACACTTCACCAGATGAGCAAAATGGGATTGAATCTTCCCCTTGAACATGGAAGTATCCACTGCCACAACATGCAAATATACACTGCCAAAGACCGAAATTGTGGCAGTGTATATATTTCCATGTTCAAGTGACAGATTCATTCCCATTTTGCTCATCCTGTGTCAGGAAAACTTTCTCTCTCTCTCTCTCTCTCTCTCTCTCTCTCTCTCTCTCTCTCTCTCTCTCTCGTGTGCTCGCGGCGACAGATTTCTTCTGTCCATCGCGGTGTGTTGTCCCACACAGGCAGGCTGCTCAGTTGATGCACACACATGAGACTGTAGGATTGCAAACGTGAGTTCGAATTCAGCGGCGACCGCAATAAGATAGTCTTGATTTTTTACAAAGGATCCAACGGCATGCTGATGCCTTGGTCATTGCCCCCCCGAATGCTGTGCATCTCTCACATTCTACAACAAAACATCAAAAAAAAAAAAAAAACACTTAAGGCCAGATAATGGCCGTGCCTGGGGTGGGGCTGGCGCTGGGCCGCAGCAAAGCGGTTTCACTTGTTTTTATTATAGAATTTCATCATTTATTGTTGTCTATATTAGTGTATTGCTAGGCTACCAGAGTGGCCCGGGGTCATTTGCCAGGCCGGGCCAAAAAAAAAAAAGAAAAAAGAAAATACCACTACTCCTAATTGTAGGCATACGGGGAACTCGTAGCAGCCAGCACCGTGTTCACGAGAGAACATGCAGGGGCTGCTCCCGACCTGCAGGTGGGCGATACCGGCTAGGAGGCAGCCGGTAGCATCAGGGACCATGCCAACAGGACCAATCCCTGTGCCTCCACTCAGGTCCCCTTCCCTATGAACATCAGCAGACTCTGCTAAGTGCCAATCGGGGGATCCAGTGGTCTAACTCTAGGTGCCGGGCGCTCTGCGTAACATAGTTTTTTTTTTTTTTTTTTTTTTTTTTTTTTTTTTTTTTTTTTTTTTTTTTTTTTTTTTTTTTTTTTTTTTTTTCCTTTTTGGGGGGGCCCCCCCCTTCCCCCCCCCCCCCCTTTTTTTCCGTTTTCTCCTTTTTTTTTTTAAAAAAAAAAAAAAAAAAAAAACGAAAAAAAACTATGGCGGGCGCTCTGCATAACATAGTTTTTTTTCGGTTTTTTTTTTTTTTTTGCTGGAACTTTCCTTGGTCCTTGCACGGGCTGGCCACCCGGGACCCGGGCGGCCCGGCTGGTAGCCTACATAGGTATATTGTGTAATCTGCTCATTAATTTGTTGTTAGGCCAATGCTGATTTAGGAAAGTGCAATGTGCTTCTTGTTTGAGGTTCTTCTTCAGTCTTCCAGCAACATGGCATCATCGCAAGTCCTCGATCGGCAAGATGAGAGCTGTCATGGTAATTCTGTTAGAGGTGGTGGTTGTGTGTTTTCTTCTCACCAGCTGTCCTGCCCACGGTGATGTTGGAGAGCGGTGAAAGGATGTTGCCAGCGATGAGAGCTGTCATGCTGGTGAATCGCGGTGATTGTCATTACTAAGGGGCCTGACAGCCCCCTGGGAATTCAGAATTATTTTATTCTGTTCATCTGACTGCATCTGGATTCACCCTTGAGTCTGCGTTTCCACAGTTCATGTGCATACAAACTGCGCTAGGCCCGTTGGTTTAATGGATCTTTCGACATTCACAGGATAATAGAACATGCACACCTCACAGTTTGGGTACAGAGAGCGAGGTCCCGATTTTGTGGGACAGAGAAAGCCGTGCAATAACCCGTTGCTATATGCCTATGTCATCGGCCAAGGGGATCACCCGCACGCCGCAAATCGGCCCTAAGGCCCTGCGTCCGACCATGGGTCGTACAGAACCCCTGAAATGTGGCTTCAGAGGCCCTGCGCCCGACAATTGACCAAAGTCAACTGCCTGTCGGAATATTGAGGCTCATGAGTCAAAGTCTTCACGGACCCAGTCCAGGCCACCGACCAGACACACACTTGGCTGTACGCAGGTATCCAGACAGCATTCGGTCCAAGTGGAAGTCTGCAACTGTACGAGATCCAGGCCGTCGCCCGTGAGTCAATGTGAGCCTCCGTGGGTGAGAGACCAGAGGCTGATCAACGTTGTCAACACTATTTATTGCTCCAGCCCCTGGGAGTCAACAATCAGTCTTGCCTTGCTGACTTGACGCTGGAACGACGCTGGGTTGACGCTGGCTGGACGCTGGCAAGACGCTGGCAAGACACTGGCTCTACGCTGGCGTTGAGCGGCGACGATGCGAGACTGCTGCTTTGCGTGCTGGCGCCTCTCTGCTTCTGGCGCCAGCTGTCTTCTTGTATGCTGACGTGGCACTTGCCACACTGCCTTGGCATTGCTGACGTGGTGCATGCCACACTGTCTTTGATGTTGCTGACGTGGCATATGCCACACTGCCTTCATTGCTGATTGGGGCGCAACAAGGAGGGAGATGGGGATCAGTGGGATTGGTTGAGAGAGAGAGGGGACTTACCTGTTGATGCTGTCGACATTGTGCGCTGCAGAGATGTCTTCATGGAAGACCAGTGCCTACGTGGCACTTCGTGGTGATCAGATCTTGTCAGGCAAGTTTCTGGGACACAGTTTGCTGACGTGGAGCGGAGGAGATGCCCGAAGCAGAAGTGGGCATTGAGGGGTGTCTATCAACGCGGACATTGATAGATACCTCCTCTTCCACCTTCTAAGCCTAACCCTCCCCCTCTCCTCCTTCGTCCTCTGGTTACGAGACATTGTATCACAGATCACATTTCACAAGTACTAGATGACCTGGTGCGACTTCGCTTGCAAAAACAGATATGATAGGTGATGCATTCATGGTGTAGGCAACTGCCCAATGCAATCTCTCTCTCTCTCTCTCTCTCTCTCTCTCTCTCTCTCTCTCTCTCTCTCTCTCTCTCTCTCTCTCTC